AGCAGCAACAACAGCAACAGCAACAACAACAGCAGCAACAGCAGCAACCGTTCACGCAACCACCGGCGCCACCTTACGGTCAACAACGACCAATAAGGCCGTCCCTTCTCGGTAAGAGTCATTCGATTCCCGACAAAACGAGATTCGTCGAGCCGGTTGGTTCGTGGTCTAACGTCTGCCACGATTCCGCGTATTCTTCCCCAGGTTACGGTGGGTTTAGCGAAGGCTACGGTCAGCCCGGTTTAAAGCCGACACCGCCACCGATACCTTCCCCGCAAGGTGTGATGGGACCTCCAGGGATCTCTGTACAGCAACAGCTCATGCAGTCCGTACGATCTCCGCCACCCATTCGATCTCCTCAACCGAATCCTTCACCGCGACCGGTTCCATCCCCGCGCAACCAACCAGTTCCTTCGCCTCGATCGGGGCCGGTGCCATCACCTCATCATCATCCGCCACACGGCACGCCAACGCATTCGCCGGCTCACGAGCTCGGCGGCCCTAGCGAGATGATGCTTTCACAGCTGAACGGCGGCACGGGAGCGCCAACGGGTCATCCGGGCGCAATGCCCCATCATCCATCGCCGGCCCCGCCGCCGACCAGTGGTGCGGACTCCAGTGAAGTGACGCCGATGACTCCGCAAGACCAACTCTCGAAATTCGTCGAAGGATTGTAGTGACTGTTAGTGAAGAGTCGGTCGATGCTACAAGTGACTACGTAAATATAATCGGTCGAACGGATGGCTGATGTTCGGCGCCGTTCCCACCGTTCGAAGGACGGTCGATGTTGCAGCTTCGGACCCCACCGCCGCCATGAGGCGGCGGAAGGGTGTGCAACCCCAATCCGTTCTTCTGCTGCGTTCCTAGCTTCGTGGAGATCAAGGTACCCCGCCGATCACACACGTCCCGGTGCGACGGACGAGAGTCAGAGTACCTATTCCCCCCTCCAACACTGAGATTGGTGCGACCAAATTAATCCGGACGACGACGCGTGTTCCCTCTTTTTATCTCCGAGTTAAGGGTGCGGGAGCGATAACAGCGTGATGTGGTGCTGCTGCTTTAGGAGACGCTCTCCGCGATAATGCTACAGTTGGCTCAATGGACACACTTTGAACTTCTTACGTTACTCTGTACTGTTCGTACCTCAACCTCTTGACTCCTCTTCATCGTCATATCCCCCGTGACTCCCATGCCACCCCCCCTCCCTCCCTCCCTGAAACTCCCGTAATCGAGAACCGGTGGAAAGTCGTGAACAATTCGATACCGAAACTACATGTAAAATCAAGAGAGAGAGAGAGACTATCGATACGTCCTACCCTGTACACACACATATACATACACATATACCTGCACACACTCTTGAATGAGACGAACTGAAATTCGTACACACACGAAAATTTGGCAATATCGAAAGATCACACGCCGCCATACATTGAGAAAATCATCAACTCCCGTTCTTACGCAATCCCCTTACCCCTGTGAACACACGCATCCAGGCATACAGAGAGAAAGAGAGAATAGCAAGTGAGATTGAGCGAGATTACATCCAAAACACACGACCTTTTTCATCTTTACCACCTTCCCCTCGCTGCTGCTCGTGCAGGCTGAGTGAAATCGTACAAATGTGTTGTGTATACTTAACGTTAATTAATAATTAATAGTTCAAATACTATTAGCGTAGCAATTATATGCAGTTATTATATACCACTATTATTATTATTATCGTGACGAGATGCAAAAGTATATATATATATATCATATATATATACACACAAACGAAAAAGGTGATGAATATCTGAGGATCGTATGAAAGGGAGAAGGAGAGAGAGATCGCGCGCGCGTGAGAGAAAAAGAGAGAGAGTGTGAG